TTAGAAAAAATCCCTTCAGTGGGGGAGGTATGGATATTTTCTGGAACTACACAATACCAAGATATATCTGCAAACTTGAGAGCTCTTCCACAAATTATTTCCTTATTGTACATTTTTAAAATATATGGGACAGGTGATGAAACTCTCAGGCCTGAACCTATGGGCCTATAGATTGGCAAAGAAAGGAAGTGGGTTGGTTGACATACAGAGGAAAAGTACTGTCATAAAACTCTAATCTTTTTTCTCTTTTAATAGGTAATGATAATCAAGCACTGCGACATGATTTTACAACGTAAGTCAGCAATTAATATTAAAATGTATTTTTTGTACAAAATGTTATAATCAGAAGGCCATTCAGAGTTGACACTAATGGTAACTGCTGGAGAAAGTTTTTTGTGATATCCAGAATAATCAAGGTGGAGGAAAGTGTTATCAGCTGGAGCTAAAGGCTGAGGTTGGATACACGTAGTAGGACCTTTTTGTTAAAACTCTAGTTCAACAATAATAATATTGTGTTAATATACATTGTGTGGTTCCAGAAAATATCCATACCCCCCACAGAGGTTTTTTCCAGTTTGACCCCCCACCCCAGGATTTTCTGTTCCAGTGGGCTTCACAGTACTCCCCCCACCCCCTGGAATTTCCATGATTTTTCTACTTGGGCCCCCCTACCCCTCAGAAATTCCATATCCATTAAAAAAACAAGACTTAACTCATTAATTGTAATAAAATTTAACAGCAGCTGTTTATAGTTACATTGTAGACAAAGACGTACTTTTTCATGGTAGACTACAGACTTAGAAGCGCTTCACTCCCAAATGGCATAGCAGCTGACTTTTTCTTCATTAAAGGAAGTTTTCATCTAAGAATCTCAGAACGTACATAAAGTTCTTTCAAATAACCGAGTTGAAGTTTTAATTTATGCATGGTCAAAACAACATATCAAATTACTTTACACACGCAGTAAAGTCATCACGCAACATTTTTTTTACAACAGGTGTTTCCCAAATGTTGCTTTATTTTTTCTTTCACCAAAGGAATACATCAATTAAGTCATACACGTTGTCTCTGTAGTTTGTAAATGACAGTAAATTTATTTTATGCCTTAGTTTTTTCAATTGTCATACATTTCATATGTGAAACATGGATTGTTCAGTCGGTCTATAAATGGCCGAATGAAATCTTGGCTACCGCTCCAATGACTATGCTCCCCGATGTCCACGTTTACATATATAGTTCAAGAAAAATGGCTTTGAATCGACTTTGCTCACTTAAAGCAAACTATTAACTACACGGATAACGAAGGAAATATGTGATAACCTAGTTATGGCAAGTCTGAAATGGCGACTAATTTTGTAAGAGTATCAAACGAAATAAACAAAGTACAAATCACATTTAATTGACGGCATGATTAATGCTGGAAAAAGCATCTGAGCTGTATTTAAGCTAAATACAGCACAATCTCCAAAGTATAAAATATCATCAACTTCATTGTTCATGTATTGCTGCACCTCTTCGTCAGCATTTTGTTCAACTTGATGTCCAACAAACACGATACTCAGGATTGCTGTCTGTCATATGATGTGGGAAGAAAAATGGAAAATATATGACAAAGAATCTAACATTTATTTCTCAACGGATGGAACATTTCTGTTGGTTTGGTTACCTGAATCAATTGGGAAAGTACAGTAGTGTTCATTCAATCGCATTTCAGACCCACTGGAAAGAAAACTCCTTGAGTAGCCCCCCTCCCCTTCGGAAATTTTTCTCTTTCAGACCCCCCTACCCCTCGGAATTTCTGTGACCCTCCGTGGGGGGTATGGACATTTTCTGGAACCACACATTGTTACAATATTGTTAGCTGCGAGTGAAACCAATTTAAATCTTATTTAGTTGTCTGAACACTGAATGGGAATTTCATTCATTGCTAAGACTCTTGGCTTTCCCTCACTTTTTTCCAATCATTGTCATCTTCAGATATTCTCCTGTATTTCCTTGGCTACTTCTGTGGATTTTTGCTTATTTTCTGTGCCAACTTTGGCCAACATCATCTACATTTTTCCTATTTCATAGTCGGAAATGTGATCGAATTGGAGAGACCTTATGAACTATGAAACTGTGCTCAAAAGGTGTAGCTATGTGACCATGCTCAACACCTGCCAAAATATCCAGAATTATCTTATTAATAGACAGCAGAATCATTGACATGCATACATACCTGGCATTGAATTACATAGTTACATATACAGCTGTATTGCATTTCTTTTTAGTGGTGAAGCAATTGGCACGTACTATCATGATGATCCAGTCTATGGACTAAATATTCATCCAGAGGATAACAATGTGTTCCTTACAGCTTCTGATGACGGAAAAGTTATGCTGTGGGACATTAGGACATCTCCAGTCAGTGGTAAAACACCTGTTCACAGTGTATAACTTTTCTTACTGTCAAGTAGTATCTTGTTCAAAATTTATGCAGTGAAGGGAAGTCATGAAGTATTCTGTGGACTGTACTGATTGGTTCATTCGACAACAGAAGCTGTCAAATGAACTCAGTGGCAATCTCATGACAAAAATTGCAAGTCGTAATTTTGCATCTCAGATTCCATGCAAATTGTAACAGAGATCTTGAATGGCAAGGTTGCCAGTGCAGTCATAACACAGAAAACATGCTGCTCTTAAAAGGAGGTGGTTGCTTTATTGAATGAAAAGTACTTTTTGGAAAAAACATTTTGCCAGTGCTGCTTGGCAACAATGCCATAGGTCACACCTGCATGTGAAGATCTTATTCATCTCCAACTCCAAGCTAATCTTGAGTGGTCACACAGGTAAAAAAGAAGTGATCACAGGGATCCATATTTGCAGTTGTCTGGGCATCTGAGACGACTAAAAAATTGTAGTCGGCAAGTACACTGTTTGACTCTACCGAAAAAAAAAAAAAAAAAATGTCTTAAATTTTCTTCTGAGTCTGTACCTGCATTTTGACTACTTGTCATCTATTTGCAACTTTTAGAAAACAGATAATGATTTGCAGATTTCTTTCACAATAAAATTATCATTTTGATCCACAATCTTGGGTGATGTAGTATTTTCCATGAATGAAATCATTGCAAGCTCCATTTCAGGCTGATCTTCATCTGGAAAAACACATTACATGATCGCATCAGGTGTCTCAATCAGGATGTGGCATTTAGTAATGATAGCACTTCAGAAAAACAAATCCAAATTATTACGAGCAAGAAGAGCAAGAGCATTCTTTTCAACATACATGGCAATCAAAGAGACCTTGGTTTTCATTTGTGCTTGGATCATCTGTGTCTGCTGACTCCACAACATCAACGTCCTCTACTAGGGACACAGTGTTCTGTGAGCCAGGTCGCATGAAAATACAAACTGTAGTAACAAAGTAAACTGTCCATTAACATGTTGCTTAGGTACTATTCTTCCCTATTGAATGAGCAAGTAAAATTTTGCCAGGGCAAGTTTGTCATGTGGCATACTTGCCCGGCTGACGATATGGATCCCTGTGATCCGTAATTTTGAAACCATGGAATAAAACCAGCAGTGCACTGATTGGGCTGAATTTGAACCCATGTCTATGAGCATCTGGAATTGATCAAGAAGTACAGGGTTTTCAAAATAAGCTGGTACCCGAAGAAAGTCATCAGCTTCTTCAAGCATTTAAGCCTGGTACTTTTTGTCTCAAAGTTTATTAATATGCAGTTTTGTTTCACCATTGTAATCAAGATCTGATCTTTGAGAGGAAATAAATGAACAGTAACATAATTAACGGTGCGGCTATTTTATGCACCTTTCAAACTTTAAAGCAAGGGCAATTTTTGGCGGGCGTTACATACAAGGCTGTGCTCTAGGAAAAATTCTAGGGAGCCCTTTGGGTTCTCAACCTTGTAGGTTAGGGTGGTCAGAAGTCAAGCTTGGTGGCACGAAGGAAAAAAAAATTAATTAATTGATTATAATTATCTAATGACATTAATTAATATATGATAACCGATTGACCCTCAATTAAAAATGGCTTGAATTGTTTCTAGGGCATTTATCCTATTTACAGATGCCAAAGATGAAAGGTTTACTTGAATTTTTTGTAATAGTGTTGTCAAAAATCCACAAAGAAAGACAAAATTTACATGTTTTTTGAGTTAAAATGTCCTTTTTCCCTCTATGCTTCTGATAATTTAGTTCACATTCTCCTTCAACTAGGGACTTTTCATGCACATTATACAAAGCAGAAGAGCTAAGTAGACTTTTTGTTGACATTATACAAAGTATACAAGGAAACTGCTGTCCTTATCACTGCAAGCCAGTGTTAAACGTATGCATTGAACCGAGCCACCATTTATGTTTTGGCTTCACAGATGGATTTAACCTTTTTGAATTGAGCCATTTTGCCTTGTAACTTTCAATACAACACAAGAAATCAAAAAGGGAAAGACAAATTATTGTGAGACTGTTTTCATCTCTAAGTTAAATCTCAAAAAGGAGGTCGCCGTACCAGGCGACTCGGTATGTTTTTCTTGTCACCCAAAGATGGAAGCTGCTAGAGCACAGCCTTGACGTACATGTATCAGATTTGTTGCAAGAGGGGGTAACCCACTCCTGCACTCTTTCCCACATGGCCACCTCTATGGCAACCCAATAGTGGACCACCTACTTTACAATTTTCCCCAGCTACTTTATTTCAATTTGAAAACCCTGAAAATAATTTTCATTCATATTCTGGACTATTCAAAGATGAATGTTTCAGAGAGTTAAGAAGGGTATTTTGTTGGGGAGGGTATTAAGCACTTAATGACTGGCCCCAAGGGAAACAGCAAGTTTTGTTTCCCCAAGACCCTCATTGAGGTTGAGGGAAACAAAACTCACTGTTTCCCATGGGACCAGTGATTACGTGAGGGGGGCATTGGGGTATAGTAGAAACTGCAAAACCGAAGAAAAAATCATCCACAACTGCAAAACCGCAAAACAATTTGCCCAAAACCAAAAACTGCATACAAAACCATCAAAAAACCATTACAATGGTGACAAGTGGGACATACAGAGCAAACTACACTAACACTAATTTTATCAATGTATTTGTGAATGTCATGGACTTGTCTGAAGCCTTCGTATCTTGTACTATCTTTAAGCTTCTGCAGACTTCTCTCTTCCCTTTTCACTGTACATCTAAACATGTTTTTTTCGAAAATTTTTGCTGCCTTTCTCCTCCTCACAAAAAACATAACACAATCCACAATTGCTTCTTCTGTTGCTGGCATGGGAGGCATGTTGGAAACTGACCAAATGATTGCCCTGGTCTGCAAGGTCAAAGTCTTGCGCATCATTTGAGACATGTGATCCCCTACGGTGACATTTAGTTTGTCACGCATTCCTCTCAATAACTGCGGCTATTCGAGATCAATTGCTGCTCAAATCAAAGAGAAACCAGAACCCAAATAGGACAAAACAGGAAAAACCAATAACTACATTGGATACCAAATCCAAAAAACCGCTAGACTAAGTATTTTTTACGAAAACCAAAAACCAGATGCTAAAAAGCGAAAAATCTGCAAACCGCTATGAACACCAAAACTGAAAAACAAAAGTCTTTTGTACAAAAACCAAAAAACCAATCTAAAAAATAGCCAAAACTGCAAAATTGAAAATCCCAGTGCCCCCCTCTTAAGTGTTTTGCTATACCTTCCAACTCAACAATAGAAAAAAACCTGCGAAGAAATTGTTTGCTTGACGCTGGCTGGGTCACAAATTTGCCACGGTTTCAAGGTGCATGACCTGATCATGTGCAAGTTGAAAGTTCAAGTTGTTGTTTCCCTAGCGAGTTAGTGAGTTTAGACCCATGACATGTGACACATTCTCCTCCAATCAGAAAATGTATTTGAGTTTGGAGGTATAACAAATGTATTTAACTTCTGATTTCATGTGCGTCACAACTCAAAGGAAGAACATTTTGGTAGCCAGAGCACAATACATACTAGCTGGTGGTTATTAAAGACTGTTAGTGCCTTTGCTGTGTTTCTTATTTTAGAAGGTGAAAAATAACGTAATAGTTAGTTTCACATTATATTTTTTGTTTGATATTTTCTAGAACTATATTGTGTCTGAAATTGTCACCAAAAGGTAACATTTTTGTTTTAGGGTCATCAATGTGCATTGCACGGCATGAATCAGCCTTCCATGCTGCTGTTTTCAATCCAGTTGATCCCAGCTTAATAGCTACAGCTAACTCCAGGAAAGGTGTCCAACTTTGGGATGTGAGAGTTCCAGTCAGGTAAATAAAACATCTCAGAAGAGCATGTGACTAGTTCATATTACGTTAGTCAGTACTGTTAATCAGCAAGGTTAATATGGCATGCACTAATGATTGACCATGTCAGGACGGCAACTGCACTAACGATGGAGGTTATAAACTTAGTAATTTGTATTTTTGGCATTATTGGCTTCCCATTAATAATACATGGCAATATACATCAAAAGTTACCCGGTACATGATTTCAGGTTTGCTGAGAAGTTTATAGAGACGGGGAAGTAGGGGGTGGGGGTGGGGGTGGCGGGTGGCACTGAATCTCTGACACAGGACTTTGGATTGTTCAGATGTTGGGATGTTCAGCATCTTATACAAATCATGCTTACACTACATTTAAATTTGTGTTACTGGTTTGTATGGCTTTTTTGTATGACTGGTCCACAGCTGTTTAAGGCAGTTTAGTTCTGGAATACCTCAGATGTGTGCCATGGGGCTCAAGTGGAACATGGCAGGTGATATGATAACAGCCCTTCGTCGCCGAATGCCTCCAGTGCTTTATCATGTCAGGCACACCTCTGCAGTAGCTGAGTTTCATCACCCTGGCTATAGTAATGTGTGTACTATGAAAAGTAACTGCTTTGCTGGAAGCAAGGATCAGGTACTAACTATAAGGTGTAATGAAATTTTCTGCTATTAAAAGTGAATCAATGGCTTTCAGTTGAATAGACCAATTTCAATATATTAAAATTCAGCCTAACACAATAGACCTCAGCACGAGGCTCTGTGGAATAAACCCCACAAACTCTGTAGTTATTCCCAGAGCCTGCTACTGAGGTCTATTGTTTAAGGCTGAATTTTAATATATCAAAATTGGTCTATTAACCAAGCAGAAAACTCTCGTCCTGAATAGTGGTAAAAACAACTGCATATAAATATTGCATTTAAATATATATCCATGCATTTAAAAGCCATTTTAAGTGTCTCAGCAGCTGATGTGACATGCAGAGACAACAAAGGAACTAGCCCCCTGCAAGTCAAAAAAAAGTAAAGTCTGCATGCGAGCTAAGTGGCCCATCAGGCCGGAGCATATCCCGGTTTCTGTAGCTTGAAGCAACTAAGAATATTTCTACTCCCCCCTGGATGGCATGCTAGTCCATCACAGAGTTACCCCCAGCATTAAGTTCGCTGGTACCCATTTATATGCCTGGGTGGAGAGAGGCACTGCGAGAGTCAAGTGTCTTGCCCAAGAACACAACACAATGTCCCAGGCCAGGACTCAAATTCGGACTGCTTGATCTGGAGATGAGTGTACTAACCATGAGGCCACTGCGCCTCCGACACACTAACCATGAGGCCACTGTGCCTCAAGTCAAAACATGCAGGAAAACGTGTGCAAGCAAGTCATGATTGGTTTTGATTATACTTTCATGTAGCATAGGAATACACAACAAGCAGGGTGACCCCCAAATATAAATACTTTTAGTCCTCTGGTAAAAACCACTCTAATGTACTGATAGGTATTAGTTGGGATATCCAGGGGTTGCCTGATGTAATAATTTGTGGATTTGGTATTTTTATTGGTGAATAATTTTACTTGTTATGTAGACTTAAATTCCTTGGTGGGATCATGGTTGATTCTTGTTTACGTCCCATATCCTGCAACACTGTTTCCTATAAATCCTTGGAAGAGATGTATTCTTACTGTGGCACTGAATTAAAAATTCTTTACATATCTCCAACGATCATTCATTCTTCAGTATGTTGTTTCTGGCTCCGATGACTTCAACGTGTACATATGGGAGGTGCCAAATGATTGGGCTTACCACGATGAGCTGGTGACCATTGGTAGAGCATACATGGTACTTCATGGCCATCGTTCCATTGTTAACCAGGTTCGCTTTAACCCTGCTACACACATGCTTATATCAGCAGGAGTAGAGAAAGTTGTTAAGGTTAGTTTATACCAACAATACATTTATACAATAAGATTTTTTAGGTTCCCCTAGAGGATCTTCATACCAAATTTACAAAGATATTGCCTTTAAAGCTATAAGTATCCACCACTATTCACCTTTAAATATCCACCAATATCCACCACTATTCACCTCACCTTTGGTGAATAATTTTCTTAACCTTAAGTTTACCTGTGGCCTTCCATGTAGTCCATAAACATGGAGCTGTTTGTGTGTTTGTGTTTTTTTTTTGCTGGTTTCTGCTTTATTTTGGGAAGAGCTCCCATGATACAGACAAGTTATTTCCTTAACAGCTGTTCGTGGCTGCATCTTATTTAATGGTTGTTAAGACCAAAAACAAAAAAGACCTATAAGAGTTGGTTATTAAAACAGTATGAAGTTGTTCATTACAATAAAAAAATCAGCATTAGATGTTAATGACACAAAATGTTTGCTTTGTACTTAATATAATTGTCAAATACCTTTCGTGACAAATATCAATGACCATTAATCTGATGTCTGTGATATCAAGTCTAAACCTTTTTCCAACCCTTACTTAGAGCTTACATGAACAGGCAATGCTTACAGTGTGATTACATGAATCAGGCCACTTGGAATAAAGTTAACCAATCATGCATAGCCAAGGTGTTATCCAGATCCTAGTCTCTCAGTATGTTTTACATTAAGCAACTGGTGTCTTTAGGAGCAATTATCCCAGTGTGTGCTCACTACTAGGTGCAGTGCTGGTTATGAATAAATTATTATTATCTCCTCATGAAGTTTGACGGACTCAGTCCATACTTCTTACTTTTCCTTGGCCAGTTAAATTAGTAACTGTTTATTATTTTTAGCTTTGAACCTTTTCTTATACAGGTGTGGAGTCCTTTTCCAATACCAAGAGGTTACAGTAGCAAGGAAGCTTGTGTAGGAAGTAGAAGGGAACTTTATTCTCATAGTGACTATCTAAGCTTTATTCAATATGGTGGTCTCCCACTGTCCCATGATGAATATGAAAGCAAGTCAACTGACGAGGATCCACGTATGTTAGCTTTCTTTGACTCACTAATCCAGCGTGAGAAAGATAATCTCCACTCTGATTCAGATGATAGCTTCTTGAATGATTTACATCTTAGTTTTATCCTTGAACCTGATAGCAGTGAAGAAAGTGACAGTGACCACACAGGAACCAGTATGAGTCGTCTACTGATGAGGGAACTTCTTCATCGACCCAGCCCAGGGCCAACAGATAGGGAGGTAGCTACAAACAGCTCAAGTCAAGGTGTGCTTCGACGGTTAAGACATCTTAGAGATGCAGCTGTAATTCGAGATCTGCTAAATGCAGATAGTAGTAGTAGTGATGATGGTAGAGATACACATTTCAAGGTTGTCCCACCTGAGCTACCCCAAGATCTCGGAAGTGGGCAAAGTACTGTGCATTCTCCAACTCAATTTAAAAGACATCAGTCTCGTACAAATAGATGCTATCGTGTTCAAAACAGATCAAGGAATGAAAATGAGAGCAGTAATGTTTTGTGTGACTCCTCTTCATCTGACAGTGATTGTAAATATAGCCGGCAAAAGTCAAAAGAGAGTAGTAGCAGTAGCAGCAGCATTGACTCAGATGATGATTCTAGAATTTCAAAGGCAGCAAAGAAGAATACAGAAAGTGGCAGTGATGAAGCTAAGTCGTACAAGTCAATAAAGAAAAGAAAGAAGAGACATTTACACAGGACAAATGTAAAGAGCCCTTCTAATAGCTTGGAAACATGTGAAACTATTTGTAAAGCCACTGAGCATAAAATGGATGGATTTACAGATAATAGAGACAGCCATATGGCAAACTGCAACTCTCAAGTGAAAGTAACTAAAAGCAATGAAGAGTTTGTACCCTCCAAAGCAGAGTGTTCAGAATCAAATGAGAGTAACCACCACACAGCTGCTAATGGCAGTAACTGGACAGGCCAATCAGACAATGTTGTAACTATTAACAAGAAAAATGGCAATACACAGAGAAAGGAAGAGGATGAGGAGAATGATTCTAACAGATAGCTACATTTTGGAGTGGCTTATCATGTGCACTTCTACTAAAAATGTCATTTCTCTGGATAGGTACTGATTGGCGAATTCTAATTTCTTGAAGCTCAATCTGCAGACCAGGGGAAGATACTCCCATGTATAGGCTATAAAATGGTTTTGTGCTACTGTCAAGGGTGTGGTTTTCAAGCAGGTTAGTCTGAGAGGATAGGATCTAAAAATCAGAAAGTTTTGGTCTACAGTAGAGTATCATTTTCTCAGAAACTGACCAGTGGTAAGACAAATGTGGCCTGGCCTTGGAATAGACATATGGAATTGAAAGAACTTGACATAAATGGAAATACAAATCAGGCACCAGAAACTGGGTAAAACAATGACCCCTGGTCTGTGGAGCCCCAGGATGCACTGGGTCTATGGACTACCCTACAGACCAGTCCATGGACCTCCCCTACTGACCGCCCCCCAAAATAAAGTAAAATTAATAAGTAAAGATTTGACTTACCTGTTGTCTGGATATACCATTCATGTTGGCAAAATTTTGAGTGGCATCTACGGACATCTCAAATGGAGTAGCACATATGTATGGGATTGCTTTTCCACATCACTCTACATATACATTTCTATTAAAACCCAAGAATAATTTTTGAAAGCTGTTTTAGGTAAAAAGAGATGTTGATGGCCAAAAGTAAGAAAGTTTTAGCTTGTTTACTTTTGTAGTTCTGCTAACCAATTCCGGAAGTCTGATTGTGAAAGCTGGGATGACTTCACGAATCTGTAGGAATATAGGCCGAACAAATGGTGGAAAATAGAACTAAGATAGTTATCAGTCTCCTCATTCTTTTTCAAGCACCCTGGTCTTCTACAGATTGCCACAGTAAAGGAAATAGAGGCTATTACATGGCCACGTGGAGATGCGAAATTTATCTTTGAGTGTCAAAAAAGTGAAATATTTTTCAACACAAGGACAGAAATTTTGTATCTCGAACCAACTCTGTAATTTTCTTTTTTATTAATAAAATTCTTACAATACATAACAACATTTTTGTTGATTTTCCAAAGATTTCTGACCACTAAATACAAAGATTTCCAAAGATTCTCCAAAATTTGTCCGAAGGCCAGATTAAGGTTTTCAAACATTTTCTGAAGATGTTTCGATCAGACACCAACAAATTTAAGTGCAGTTAAAGGGACAAAAATGTTATCAAAATTGATATCTTCACATGTGTGGATAAAAATGGTATCCGCACATGTGGGATATCGTTTTTATCAATTTGCTACCACTCGGTATATCATTAAGTTTTATATAATAAAGGATATTACACAGCAGTGCAAAGATACAAATTTTATTTTTGAATGATAAAAGCAATATTTTACTTAGTTACTATGCTCACAAGAAAGTAAAATTGGTATCTTAGAGGCACTGTAATTTTCTTGTGTATTAATATATAGACATGAATCTGTCAATTGCCATTTTCACCAACTGTTTTCACAAACAACTGTAAAGAACTGCACCAGTGGATCAGTGAAAACTACAATAAAAGTCCCAGTTGTAATTTTGTATGATTTTTTACAAGTGGTCTTTTTTTCTGGTAACACACTCATGTCTATTGACTATATAGTAAGTGGCACTGTGTTATGAATAGATATACCTTGCACCCAACCCTTAGCCCAAGTGTGTTACATTTGTAAAGAGTAATGCTGAAATGTCACCAACACAATTGCTCTATCAGGCAACTGGTAAGTCAAATCTCTGGTTATCATTTTCATTTTATTTTGGGAGTGGTTCGTAGGGGGGTTCTGGAGGTGTAGTCCATGGACCGGTCCATAGAGGTAGTCTGTGATCTGGTCTGAAGTGGGGTTCCATGGACTGGGAGTCAGTGTTTCTGTATGTTTGTTTTGTTTAAAAGAGGGCGGCAAAACCAGTCAAACCCAATCCAGGTATTCTCAGAATAGCCTCATGAAATAAATTAGAAGCTTATTTTGAAATAAATTTAAAGTCCCTGAACGATTGTAGAGTAAACCTTATTTAATTGAGATTTTACAATAGTCTCAGTTCCAGTTGATTTTAACCATCATGGTTTCTGCAATCTTGTTGTGTATGTGTATTTTGTCAGGGGTTACGAATTCAAGGCAGAGAAGAATCAAAAAACTATGATTAACACTAAGATTAGAAAGAAATGAACTGAAAATAAAGCATAAGTCAGTCAAGAAGTTGCATTTCCCTAAGCTTAAAACTGGGTAGATATAATAGAATACAAAAATTCTTGATAATTAGTCATTGAGTTACAGTATCAATGAGTACACAGAATGGTATGTACATACAGACATATACACATACTTTATTTGTTATAGTAGGTTAAATTAAAGGCAGCCAGATGCTGATGTGGACCTACTGTCTACGATAAAAAGTGTGCTGTGTAACAATGGTAAAGTTAGGAATAAAGTAACTGCATACTTGTTACGTGTACCACAGTGGACAAATCAGCCACTGTTTGGATTAGAATTTAATATGCTAAGAATTAATCCATTTTTGCTCATAATTGCAAACTGCTGTGTCACAAATGTTTATTAGTGGATTTTCCTTCAGAACAGTCAAACTCTGAAAACCTCTTGCATTTTGTGAGTTTATGAGCATAAATTTTGAGCCCTGGATTTTCCAGACTTGGATTTTTCAGAGTTTCAACTCTGCTATGCAGGCACTGCTGCTTGAAAGTTACCCTCTACTGATAACCTGTAGTGTCAAATGATAAGTTTAAGCTAATCAGCAGATCACAGAAAATTTAGTGGTGAACTATCAGAATGCAAGTAGCTCAGCTAATCAAATTGCATTTGACACCAGTAGCACCCTAGCATTTAAGGTAACTTTCATATTCTGTGCTCTTGTCAACCGTAAGAAAAGCACACAGTCAAGTATTTTAAAGTTATTGTAAAAGAGTGGTGACATCTTAGTATAACATCTTCAGATGTTACCAAGAGTCTTTGGAGAACCTTCTGATACCCCACGTCAACGATCTCAAGAAATGTTGAGTCAAAATCAACCAGAAGTCTGGCATCAATAATCAAGTATTTTCATTCATCTGGGAAACAACTGCCAGTACGTTGAATGCTTTCCGCAAGTAAAAGCTTGGAGGGTCTTGACCAACAAACTTGCTACTTGCCCCAGGCCTCTGCATCAGCCTTGCGTGCTCCCATATAACCACCAAGCTCTGCTGTTTTGTAGAAAACTAACAAGGGAAAAACAAAAACAAAAGAAAAGATCCGTTCGTTTTTGCTTGCATACTGCTTTCCTAAAACATTTAAAGAAGTAAATGCTGCATTCATGTCTAATATTACACAGGTCAAGTTACAGTATGTGGTACAATCCTATAGGCCACAAACTCTGTAATAATTCTTTATTGAGTTCATAGATATAAAGGTAGTTCTCAAAGTATAAAGCCACACTTTAAGTTGTCTCAGCTATTCAACTCATTTTACAATTTGAAACATAGTCTTTTTAAGCAGAATGTTTCAAACTTTTTTTACAAAGTGCTTCACAAGGCATGTGACCTCCCTTTTACAACATCTCTCTGCATAAGTGCTATGGATGTAGATTCCAGATAATTAATTTTTAGGTTTCTTTACATCAATAGCAATTACAGTCTTTCCCATTAAACTGTGAATCCCAAAGAAATTTCTGCAATGTTTATTGTTTTGCGACCAATCAGATGCAAGATGAAACCGCAAAAAGTAACCACAACAAACTGCAACAGTCTTAAAAGTTTGGATTAGCGAATTGACACAAAACAACAAGCTGGCTTTTTCTTCCAATTCCACCGTTTTCAAATACTAAAATTGTTGTTTGTCTATTTCAGAGCTTATTTATAAGCAAAAAATAAAATTTATTCTTATTGTCCATATTCAATATGAACAATATTTTATTGAAAAGCAATAAAACTGGATTTTGATTTCTTTTTGGCAGCGGTGGAGCAGTCGAAGCTAGTCCATCAACATCAGTCATTCCTGGAGCAGGGTTGTTTCATAAAAACAGATTCCATCCCCTTCTATTGACTCTGAAACTTGAAGCAAGTGTAATGTACATAATGTCTACGGGTGAAAGTTTCTAAAATGCATCTTTTTGTGTTGCTATGATCATCTGCATCAAACATTCGCTCGGATTGGATTTGCTTGGTTTTTACTCCATGTAATAACAGATGGCTACCTCTCAATATAATGATGGAAAACATCTAGTCATCTACTAAGGAAAACTTTAAAATTAACACTTAACATGTTGGTGTTCATGTAGTTGTTCCAACAAATACAATTTTTGTGCTCTCAGATGCACTGTCTAGCCTTTGCTGATCATCACTTTTCAGTAATATATTGTTCACGGTTATTCTTAAATGCATAAGCTCTGAAATTGAAAAAGAGCAATTTCAGTATTTCCAAACGGTAAAATTGAAGATTTGAAGTGGAAAAAAAGGCCAGCTTTTTGTTTCGTGTCAATGCATGACTAATCCAAACCTTTCAGGCTGTTGCAGTTTCCTTTTATTAGCAGTTTCACCTCACATCCGATTGGTTGTGAAACAATAAAAGTAATTAACATTCCACAAATTTTCTTTGGTGTTCACCGTTTAACAGAAAAGACTGTAAGTTTCAAGGTAGAAAATGTGGCATTTAAATTTAGTATAAAACATACCTTCCAAAATAGCTGGGTGGTTGTCATTCATCCATTTTCTGTAATCTATAAAATATGACATTCAAGAGTAAGATGAGATTGAAGTGAATGAAAGCTCTGCATTGCAGCAATGATGACTGCAGTGGATGTGCAGTAGCCACAAAAATCCTACCAGCAAACACTGCTGAACTGCCAGGTTTGTTTGAGTCATAGACATCAGATCCCATTTCAGTGCCTGAATTTTTAAAGTTGACCCAAGTATTTCACATGATTTGATTTTTCTGCACCCACAAGGTCTTAGGTTTGACTCCTAGTTACAGGACTTGGAATTCTTTTTCTTTTTGATTTTAAATGAGAGTGAATGTATGAAACATCAAATATTTGAACTGGTTAATGGTGCATTTTCATTCTTTGGGATGATACAGATCAGGATCAATGATCCCAAGTCACTCAGATCGTGGAGCCTCAAAGGAACTGATGAATCTTTGTCCTGAGTGGATTCCTTGGCTCCTTTGATGTATCATGGTTCTCTGAATTATGATAAAAATTAAATGATTAAATATTCCTGGTTATTTTAAAATAATAACCGTAATTTGACTTCTTTTCGCCTTTTTATGATTTAAATTAACTTCATCGATGGCTTTTCAAGGTTAAAGGCCTTATTTTGACTGGTTTGGGATCTAATACCTCTATCAGTGTTCATTTGATGCCATACTCTGTACGATCCTACAACCACCACCACTTCCCCAACAATTGCAGCTTTCAAGAGCCTTTTCCAAGTCATCCTAACATTACGACTTAAAATATTTTATGGGTGAATAGTCAACACCATGCAAATAGTGCAATCACACTGACCGAACTCTAACCATGTTTGCTACACTAAAATAAGATGGTGGACCATGAAGAGGACTGGGATCTACATACGTGTCGAAGTTCGCAGGCTCAACGTTCAACATGGCCGTCGTTTTGTTGTGGTGGTGTTGAGATATGTTACTTTCCCGTTCTTTCCTTCTTTAACGCCACGATTCATCGGGTCTTCTTAGAGGAAAATACTATGGGAAGAGGTTTATCTGCCAGTATAGTTTTTTAACTGATGTTAAAAACATCTAAAAACTTAACTTGACGGAGTTAGTGAACGAAAATGGCAAATCCAGAAAAAAAGCATTCTTACAACAGCGTTACAGCAGCAACAGCAGCACCGAGCATAGGAACAGACAGGTTATTACGGTATCTTCCTAAAAAGCAGCCAGAAGTTCGACAAGTTGCCATAGACATTCCAGAAACAGACAGCAGCCAAGCTCTGAATCAAGATTTATTGAATGCTGTGGAAAGAGGTACATTTCACTAGTATAGACTACAATAAGCATTTAATGACTGGCCCCAAGGGAAACAGTGAGTGTTGTTTACCCAACCCTTAATGTTCCCTGACGTGCAGGGGAACAGAAAGAGTTGAGGGAAAACAAAACCTACTGTTTTGCAATAGATACTTGCACTGACCAGGTTAGAGAATGCCAATAAATTGACTTCTAAAAACCCGGATTTTTTATATTTTTAAGATTTTCTTTCTTTGTATAAATACTAGGTTAGTTACATTCAGTCAGGTCCACACCAGCCCTAAGTTTGCCATATTCAGGCCTGCCTTATCAAAAAGTATAATATACCTTTTGATAAGACAGGCCTGAATATGGTAAACTTATTTATTGTATGGCCAGCTCCCTAAGTGGGTAAGATGATCCAAATCCTGCACTGTGATTGGCTACCAAGCGGGCAAGATGGCATATCTTACCCGCTGTGTCTTGCAAGAAAATGGTGTTCTTTTTCCATATAATAAATACTTTTTTGACCAAGCTTGTTTGGTCAAGATGTTTGGAAATTGACCTCATTCTTTTTTTTTTGGTGAGTTTATGGATCTCAACTCCATCTCGGTTCATAAACATGCAAAAAATAAAACTTGGCCAATATCCAGCCATCTTGACCTCATGCTTGGTCAATAACTCATATGTACGTGTATGTATGTAGGCAAGGTGTTAAGTGCTTCCAAACAATAGTGTTATGATCTGTATATAAAAATACTTGGTGTTGCTTAACCTGATCCAAAAGTGTGGAATAGTGTATCATGGATGAAGTTGCATGAACGTTTTACTGAACAGCACTTGGCTATACATCATAATAAGTAACATGATGTACTATTGTCATACCATTTCAAGTTCTGATGTTTTCACATTTTAACAGTAAAGAGCCTTAGAATGAGAGGTACAATGAATGATGATGAAAGAATTACGTTGTCAGTAAGTACTTGAAAATAGTTGTCTCTAATTCATTTATCTCAGCTAGAATTATATCGGGGTAAAGATAGCAGTTGGTTATTGATAATTATTTTGCCATCTAAATTAGTATTTATGGTTGTTAGCAGTTGGTCACTGGACATTGTATGAGTAGAAATTGAAATTGCCTTTCTATTTTTACATCATCATGTAAAATACAGATCTGTGTTTTGTTTTGCTTGGAAAGACTCTGGAAATGAACAATCATGTACTTTGAAAATCACCCCATAATGTAAATGCATGCAAATATGTATGTAGATTACTTCTAATATTAATTATAGGCTGACAAAATTTGCGATTATTATATGTCCAACCAAAATAGGATATGAAATGACACATGTCCAGCTAAGTAAAAAATATAATTTATTTCCAGCACTATAATAACAGTTATTACATTGTAAAAATTAGATAGTACAGTAGGTGAGTTTATACTAGCTTAGCGAGTAGACCTTAGGCACACTTGAATCATATTTTAGATGTGAACAGGTCTATTCTTAACTTAAGTAGCCGACACAACAGCGCATCTTTTTTTTTTTCAAAAAGGCGGAAGTGCACTTCCAATTCAAGTTCAACCATTCTTACCAGCTTACTTATGCTACCTTCGGTGAATTGAATGTCAATCAAATGCGTTTTTCTTTGGCATATCAGAACTTACTAGACTTGTATGACACACACATCATTTTTGCACTACTCGCTTTCTTTACATCTGGTTCTCAATAGAAAGAATGGCATAGAAAAACTTAACCAACTTCAGTCATAGCAGTCAACATTAGACCTACGTTCTGTGGGTTAGAAGATGATGATTATTTAGACCACAGAGTCACGTACTCTCTATTACATTTACTAAAATGAAATTCACATGGCCGGGTCAGTGCTGGGATATTCAGGCACAACCTGGCTTTTTGTTCCTGTAGCAATAACTTAGGTTGACAGTTTGTAATAGTAACAAATCCAGGGCAGCCCATGAATGGCTCTGTCACTTGAAGTATACTTTGATTTTAAATAAGATCGAGTATCAACGTAAGTAATCATATATGATCTCTAGTATACTTGAGCTCTTCACATACTCAAGATCTACTTAGAATGTTAGTGTGAACCCACCGAATGCTGTGATTATGCTGTGGTTAATTTCAGCATGTTTTCGGGAACTAGATGTCCCATCAACCAATATAGTCATAGAGGCTCATCACCCTTTTTGATGGGTAAAAAGAAATTTTTGCATTCGCAGTTCTCACTGATCAATCTATCTGCTTTTGTTTCAATTCCTGTGTATAAGATTCTAATGGTATCTGGTTTCCATGTTGTAATAGTTTCCATGGTAACTAAATAACTAACTTTCATAAGTATTAAGTTACTGTACTCAAATAATTGAAGCTGGAAAATAAGTTACATGTATTATTGCACTTTTTTGGTATTATTTAGAGTGCTATTAAGCCATTTCCACAAAGATCCCATCCAATCATGAAAAGAGTTAAAAGAGAACTTCAGAGTGTTCTTGCTGAGAGACAGGTAAGAATATTGATCTGTAGGGATGTATATAAGGGAAAAAATATATTAATTTGTTCATCAGTGGAATCAACATTATTTTTCCCCCTTTTTTAAAAGTTAAATCAATCTCTCTGCTATTTTGTTGGTTTTTAAATTATTTTAAGTAAATGTCTTTGAAGTTGTGTGTTCACATGAAATCAACATTTTATTGTTTCCTCACTGAAATCATCATCACTTGAAGTGAAACAAACTTTTTTTTGTTTTGGCTTTCAGAAGGTATTTTAAATGAGGTCACTCGGAAATTTGAATTTGTTTTTCTTGCAAACATTATTTCATGAAAACAAAGTTCAAATCAGTGAAAAAGAAAAAACATAGAACAATTTTGCTCTGATAAAGGAAAGCTACTCTGCTTATGCCAAACTTTATTCATTTTTAGTGCAGAGTGCACTATTTGCTTGGTTTAGGGAGGTTCCCCCCTGCTAAACTGCTAAATCACGAAATAAAACAATAAGGTGTAAACTGAAATGTTTGTTTAATTATTAATTTCAATTAGTCTTGCAGTAGTGGGGTTGGGTAGATATCTGTGTTCACCTATTTTAATTTAATTTTGGATAACATCACAAACCTACCGTAGTTTCTCGGTTATAAGGCGCACTCGGCTATAAGACACACCCCAAACTTGGCAACTTAATCATGCAAAGTTCCCAAACTGAAAATTATGTGAAAATACTCGGTTACAGTACAGTATACATCTTTTTCTTAAAATCCCTTGCTCTCCTTGTGGTACTGTTCTCTTCAGAACCAAGCAGTTTGCTTGCTCTTGATGCATCCACAAATTAGTTAGTATTAGTGTCAACTATATACCTGTATCAGGTGGAAGACACATTTTATATGGGATCACACATCAACATTGAGTGATTTTTATTGTAGTAGAAAACAACATGTAAAACGCATCATTCAAATCAAAATACAAACATGAAGCATATACGTACTGCTAGATTATTTCTTATCAAAGAAGGTTTTGTCCACTCTCTGGAGTAGCTGAGATTGTCTGACAACTAGTTAATCACTTTGATCATAAATAATTTAATTAATTATCAATAATTTTTGATAATTATTTATCAAGCAACTGAGGTGATGTTATTGCCTGTAGCTTTTCAGTTGTTCTGTAGTTTCCTTATGATTGTTATCATATTGCTGTTTTGGTTGTTATGGTTATTAGGAGTATATGTTGTAGGTCAAAATGAAATTCAGCTTAAAATGAAATTAATTTGTCTCTTAACCCTAATTATTCATGGGTCATGGATAATTAGTATTGTAGTCAACGTTCAACACGCTACTTGGCTTTAATCGATAAGACGAAATTTGCAATTTAATGATAGAGTGCGAAGAAAGCAATGAAAAGGGAGCGGTTGAAACGTTGTATGACTAGGAAGCTAAGGAACACGTAAAAGGAAAACGGCAGGACGGTAAATGAAACGAGATGACGGTAGTGTTGCGATGAAAGTGCACAAATAAACTAGAAAGACGCATACAAAAGGGGACTGAAACAAAGTAAAATTATGCGAAAAAACCTGACAGAATATCGATAACGTGAAAGCGAGAGAAAAGAAAAGAATGCAATGATCACGAAAGAATGTACGCACAAACAGAAAAAATAACAAAGAATTAAATGCGGATGCAACAATTAGGGTTAGAAGACAAAGGAAATTGAGAATCCAACTAGGTTAAAATCATTTTAAACCTGAATTTCATTTTAACCTACAACATATTCTTTGACCATATGTGTAGAATTTCAATTTGTTTGACCGTCTAATCTAAAAACGAACTTATCTGTCAATTTTTTTGACAGGGTTGGAGAATATTCTGGTTGATCATTGTCAATGCACTTTGTACTTTTGGACTTTTTATATACAGTGGATCAACAAATAGTTTGGGTAATTCACAATTAATTAATTTCTTATTGGTTCCTGCTTGACTGTTACATTGTTTAAATTTCATTAATGCAGCTGTGTGAAACATAACTTTTATGGTTTTCTTTCAGCACTCACATCATTTAGCTACTTGACAATATTTGATTTACTAAGGTATGATGTACAAAAACGTCTGTAACATTAAAGAGTTTCTTTTTCATGGATTTATCATAATATTATGATTGAACCTCTTTTGAGGGAACAACCTAAGCAGCAGGCAAAGTGTCCACTGAGGACAAGTGTATGGGAGTTTGAAGTGTATTAATTAAGACCGAGTTTACCAGAGGACCAGGCAGGGGTGATACATGCCATCTCTCCTTTTTGGATGAAACTTTGCCAGATTGAAGGTACTACCCAACAACTCTAAAAGACAAAGTGGGCCAGCTTTGGGATTTTTCCCTTAGGAGTTAGACCAGCCCCCTTGTTTTTTGCCCAAAATCTCAAAAATGTCACTAAAATAAGCATCAAATTTAGACACCACTCCTGCTTACAGAATGGATTGAATGTTATTGATATTTTACACAAATATAGATTAGACCTATCCTAGTTCACACCAGGAGTTTCAAGTCATTTGAAGTGGCAGGTGCCAATCAAGGATTTTCATTTCCTACCCATGTCACACATCATTGAGCTATAAGGCAAATTAGCTCAAATTCTGACCCATATATTGCTTAAATCCAACTTTCTAAATCAAAACTAATTTTACCACGGTTTAGAGTCACCCTTGGCCTGATGAAATTAAGAATAAAATTTTTGGCATCTGTTATTTTTTGGCAACAAAAGCTGTTCAAACAACATGACAAGAGACTAGTTTTAACAAAGAGACAAGGGCGAAATCTAAAAATATTAGACATTATAGAATCAGTTTATTAAAGTTATTTCTATGTTAATGTCATTAACAAAGTCTTTGAATGTTATTTAGGGCAGTGGAAGCTCAATGAATGCAAAACTCTTGGCAATATCCCTTAACCCTCAGACGTACAAGGCGGGGGGGGGGGGGGGGGGGGGGGGGNAATATTATTGATCTGCCTGGCACCCTTTAACCCACCATAGGGTATCACTAACACTTTTGATGTCGTCGCCTTCATTTATGCTACGAGGTACATGGCTCTTCACTGTGGCAATTCATCTGTCACAGACATCCTTTCCAGCCTGTGGATCACTGAAATCATATCTGATGATCTTAATGCCTGTGCACTCTCTAAGGCTGGTAAATAAGTAAGTAAGTAAGTCAGTAAGTCAAGTTTATTGTGCATATGCACTTAGCTTAGCTGGGAAGTGAGAGGATGAGATGGGAAGAAAGGTGACATCCGGTACGTATTGTTGCGCTTTTCTTTCAAAAAAAGTTACAATTGAGCAAAATATCGAAGCCATTCTTAACATTGGAGTGTGCACATCTATAAATAGAGATTAAATCCCTTGTGCACTGACCTACAATTAAAGGGCTCTTTGACTTCTCTGGACATATGTACAACAATGAACATGTTTGCTTTACAGGTAATTATATAAAGGAATATTTAATAAATAATAATAACAACAAACTATTAATGATAAATAATAACAACAATAAATATAAATAAAAATAATTAATAATAATACCAACAAACTATTAATAACCACTTGGTGATGTTATTTACCGCTGACAAAGGTCTTTGGTTATTGTTCCCGTGCTTTCAAAGTTATATCCACAATGTTTATTTTTACATCAATTAAGATTTACTTGCCAGCTGATGCAGCAAGGTAAAAAAAGTCAAAGATGTTTTTTAACTCGATTCGCATGAAATGGATATTCATTGGGTGAGTTTAAGAGTTGATATATGAGGGCAAACAATAATTTCAGTGAATAATACTTGTCAGGATTGATGAGTTTGTATGCTGACTGTAAAGTAATAGTTGACAATAATCAATTGCAACATCAAGCATGTAACCTGTCCGTGAAAATCGAGCAGGGTTTCAAGAGTAATCTAAAAAGTAAGATATGCCCAGAAAAACTCTCCTCTAACTAGTCAATGTTTCAGAATTTTAATATCATGACCATTCATTCCCATATTTAGATTTTACGAATAGAATTTAGGTGTTTTGTGCCCACCGTGGTGCAAGGGGGAAGTGGATGGAACCCCTTTGGGCTTTCTCTCTGTTTAGGGCCAGTGAAATAAATTTACATTAATTAGATAGCCCTGAGCTTGGTCTACAAAATGATACCATATATGTTGGTTGCCAAATGACATCATTTGACCGCCATCTTGGATCCGCCATCTTGGATTTTACTTTTTTCTTAAAAAGTAAAAAAATAATGGAAATTGATACAAAATCAAGCCAGAATACTTATGAAATGTACAAACTGGTGAATTTCTGGAATTTGATGAAGAAAACTGGAAAAAAAATACAGAATTATGTCAAAAAAAGTTGATTTTTGGCCAAACCCAGATGATACTAGCAGTTGCCATGGAAATGTCAAAGATGATGGACACAATTGACATATCAAAATATTCGTGAAGGAAGAATGCACAGCTACTGAAAGTTTCAGCCCCTTAGAATAAATCGTCTTCTCGAAATTTTGAAAAAAAACCTTATTGGGGGATGGTATCCACCCCCCCCCCCCCCGCCTTGTACGTCTGAGGGTTAAGGGATATTGCCAAGGGTTTTGCATTCATTGAGCTTCCACTGCCCTAAATAACATTCAAAGACTTTGTTAACGACATTAACATAGAAATAATTTTAATAAACTGAATATAGAATGTCTAATATTTTTAGATTTCGCCCTTGTCTCTTTGTTAAAACTAGTCTCTTGTCATGTTGTTTGAACAGCTTTTGTTGCCAAAAAATAACAGATGCCAAAAATTTTATTCTTAATTTCATCAGGCCAAGGGTGACTCTAAACCATGGTAAAATTAGTTTTGATTTAGAAAGTTGGATTTAAGCAATATATGAGTCAGAATTTGAGCTAATTTGCCTTATAGCTCAATGTTGCATGACATGGGTAGGAAATGACAATCCTTGATTGGCACCTGCCACTTCAAATGACTTGCAACTCCTGGTGTGAACTAAGATAGGTCTAATCTATATTTGTGTAAAATATCAATAACATTCAATGCATTCTGTAAGCAGGAGTGGTGTCTAAATTTGATGCTTATTTTAGTGACATTTTTGAGATTTTGGGCAAAAAACAAGGAGGGATGGTCAAACTCCTAAAGGAAAAATCCCAAAGCAAGCCCACTTTGTCTTTTAGAGTTGTTAGGTAGTACCTTCAATCTGGCAAAGTTTCATCCAAAAAGGAGAGATGGCATGTATCACCCCTGCCTGGTCCTCTGTTAAACTTGGTCTTAATTATTATATTTTGTATGTGGCTGGGACTGTTGCTAAGTATATGCTTACAGGTATAAGGCATGCACTAGGGAAGGTTCAAATGTGTTTACTAATATAAGGCAAGAAAAACTTGAATTCCAGCTTGCCCCAGGACAAAAATCCCTCAAATTTTTTTTGCCCTGGACAAGTCTTAGTTTGCCCTTTTAATGATTTAGTTGGTGGACGGGTTGCCTGATCTCTTGCTCATTGAACAAGTGAGAATGAAAAGTTACTTTCCCGGAAGGAAAATCCCCTTATCCCAGATGACTGGAGGGCACTTTTTGTAAGGCCTGCTAATAGCTCAATATTTTTCTCCTGTTTGTCTCTTTTGTGTAGTCTTTTAACCTGTCTTTTGTCTCTCTGGGTGTCACTTCAGAAACCATCATCAACCTTTTCCTTCGGGTAAGGATGACTTCCATGTTGTTGTATGGTTTGAATGTGTCATGTTTGTGTCATGTCCAAAGGCATGAAGACATCTGTGTTATCCTGGTGAGAGGGTGTAAAATAAGATCCTATATGTTACATGAAATGGAATTCTAACCAATCAGCCACATTTTTCCATGCATGGTGTACAGTTGAATAGATTATGGAAGAATATAGAAACAATATACAAATGATGTAATGAGGTACGAAAATGGTCACACAGGTTACGTGGAACCAAAAGCAAAGTCCATAAATTTAGGACTCTGGTCAATAAGTATTGCTCTGCATAAACCCATGGCTTATTGCTGTTCTTAAGACTAACAACACAACCTTTGATCCTTTCTGAGACCCTATACATTCAAATTTTATTCACTGTGTTATTGGTTTGTGCCACAGGTATGAGAGGTTTGAGGTGTTGGCAGTGTTTACAACTACTATTCTTGTGATGTTTGGAGCTTTGTTTATAGTAAAAGAAAGGTAAAGATAACTAATAATAGCAGTTGATATCAGCAATTAGAATGGCATCTCAACTGTACAAGCAAAAACAATGTTGAGCTGTGAACATACAGTATGTTTTACTAAATGTACACTTTTTTCTCAGTGTATTTCAAAAGAAGTGAGGGTTATTGACCAAGTGTGAGGTCAAGATGGCTGGATATTGGCCAAGTTCCTTTTTCGCGTGTTTATGGACCGAGACGGAGTCGAGGTCCATAAACTCACAAAAAAGAACGAGGCCAATATCCAGCCATCTTGACCGAACAAGCTTGGTCAATAAAGGATTTATTATATGGCTTTCACGGAGATTTTTCTTGCGGGACACGGCGGGTAGTCCCGAGCGGGCAAGATAGCTCCATCTTGCCTGCTCGGGTAGCCAATCACAGCGCAGGATTTGATTCATCTTGCCCGCTCGCAGAGCTAGCTATATAATAAGGGTATTTACTGTTCAGTACCTTCTTCAAACCCTTCTTCTTGGATTTACAAAGAGTTACTATGTTTCTTTAATTTGCTTTTTATATTTCCCAGCACTGAAAGATTATTAATGCCCCCAGAAGTTATGACGTGAGTACAGTAATAAAATAAAATCAAAGTGTGTGTGTGTGAGCAGCTTGAATTTACTCTTCAGGATAACAGGGACCAGTGTTCAAGCTTTTATTTACGGCACCTTTCCTTGCATTGTGTCCTTTAATTTCTATCTCACCTCACCACAACTACTTGCAAATCACCAATCATTGCACTGCAGTGACAGCACTCAGTGACAGATCATTCCCAACCACAGTGCAGTCAAACAAACACCTCTCGGAGACCACTGCCATTAGATAGATAGATAGATAAACTTTATTTAAACACGATAATTCTCATCTTAAAGGGCCTTAGTCAGCCTCTGCCATTTTCAATGCAATTGAAATTATTGATATTGCATGGTGAAGCAAAATCTGATTGCTTCACCATAACTTGTGTTCCTGAAAGTATGTTTAATTATTGTTAGTAGTTTCACAGTGATTTTGACATGCCCCGAGTATAATACAATAGCCAAAGTCTTGCATGTAAACAAAAACAGAGGTGTGGCTGACTAGGGCCCTTTGAGTCACGTGAATGGGGATTAGGGTGCAAGGAAGGGTGCTCTCTGCTGCTTTGTCATGAGTGGGACAAGATGAAAAAGTGACTTACACCAGAATATCTTAAAATAAGTAACTACATGTATAAGCTCAATGCAAAATTTTGTTTGTTTGTTAGGCTTGGTGATCTGAATTATTGTATGGAGTATGTGCTCTGTGAACCATATTCATTTACTTTTCTTAATGTAGTACAGCTACTAGTTTGCTATTAGCTTGAAAGATGGCATTAATGTCAAAAATTAATAGCATTTAATGAACTCCATCATCAATCGTCCAGGGATGGAACTTTTTTTTACATAAACTTTAGTTAGTGATACTGTGATGAAATGTTTCATAGCTTGTTTTTGTTGTGTTGTTGTTAGGGATAATCTTCTTCCAGTCACAGTGGTTGGATTAATGTTACATTTACTTGTGACTTATGGTGTCACAAACAAGCCATTTAGTCTAGTCTCAAAAGGTAATTAAAGCAGAGCAGCTTTCATGATTCAATTTTGATTTTAAGCAGATCCTAAACAATACAGAAATATCCTGTTGTTTAAATGTTTAAATGACACATTTATGCTGCAGTCCCCAAATATTTGGATTACTCCTAATACCAATGCAGACCTTGGCATTTCAACTGGTTTATGTTACTTTATATATAATGGGCTGACACGTTTCCACATTTTATTATTTTAGCTGCATCATCAAATTGGTTACAGGATGCAGTGAATGACTTTGGTCATAGGTTAGTACATATAAGTTACATGTACTACTCCTTAATTCCTACTTTGCCAAGTTCCTGTCCCTGTTCCTGTATGGTTCTGTAGCACAGTGGAAGTAAAGCAATGGTGACCTGTTGTGGAGATTGTGGGTTTGATTCCTGCTGAAGTCAAAGATTGTTTTCTGTGCTTCATCTGGTCCCCCATTTCATTTTTAGCGCTGATGCTCCTGGGCAGCCCCTTTAATCTAAGAAATAGACTTCACACATACTAGAAGACAACTGTCTTTAGCATTAAAAAGAAAAGATTGTGTCAAATTATATCATAGTTAGTAGAGGGGAACTATGATTATATCTTGAACTGTCAGTATTGGGATATGTCATGTTTGCCTGTGTACAGCCATCCACTCTCCTCAAGGAAAATCAGAGAGGTGCATCTGTGCTTCTCCCTTGATAATCTTTTCCTTGCATAATCATTCGTGCATGAAAACCAGTTCAGTGTGACAACATCTAACATGACTCATGGAGGCAATAAAGGAAATTGCTCTCTGCACGTGATCTTTGCACAAGACATTCAGTGGCCTTTACTATGGTCACAGTTTGTAAGCTTTTACATAACAGATCTAGTTCATCCAAAATTCAATTCAATTCAGTTGTTTGTTTATCATTTCCATGGAAATATCAATTACCCTTTCCAACAGATTAGGTCAGATCAGATTGGGAAGGTTGATAAAACGCTAATTGAAAATGGTAGGTAAGGTCCAGATAAAACTCTAATGAGAAAATGAATCAGAAAGGTCATGGCTGCAAATAACAGTTGGTCATTGGAAATTGGCTGAGCAAACTTTGCTCATGTCTGATGTAATCCCAACTGTGGTCAGACATGATGTCCAGACAATTTTTTTATCGTAGATTATTTTACAACAAGGATGAATAAGAATCTACTGTGAGTAAATCTTACTTTTTTTGGTGATGTCCAACCACAATTTCTTTTGTCTGACCAAGATGGTGTCTTAGTAAGACACATGTCCTTTCAAGGAAAAAAATATTTGTAGCCCTGCAGGTTGTTTTCCACATATTTTGGGAAGATTCCCTCCCACCAATGTTTCTTGAGCAAACAGACAGCTGTGTATAGGCTATCTTTGAGTTGCTGAACCTGCACCATGGTCCCAAAGTTGTTGGTCATGACTGCTCTGCGATGTTGGGTTTCTATTGATCAATGCTTTGATTTGCAGCATCTGTGGGTTTTCACCATTCTTGGGCAAAGTTTTGGTTCAGAGGTTCAACCCTATAGCTCTTTTGGGAGTGGCTGGAGCTGCATTAGTTATTATCACTGATTCTTTGATAAATTACAAGTAAGTGCTTGAAGTCCATGACAATTAAAACTTTTTTTGTTTCAGTCACAACCAACTTGCATTGAATTTTATATGGTTTTTCTTTTCTTTGCTAAAAAAGTGGATCAAAATTCACTATCCACAACTCCCAGATATAACCTGGTGAACCCAATGAAGTAACTTAGTTGTTTCCCGAGAGAGAGAAACTGTAGAACTGACTATTTTTACACAATTCTATTTTGGCAACAAAACAATGTCTTTATTTTGCAATGATGTTTTCTGTATACTCATTGGCTCAAATGGCTTTTTAATTAGTTAAAAATATTTCATTGGTCATGTGTTTTCAAATATAATTGGCCAATTTTGGTGAAGTGACCATGGTAACAGTGGTTATTGTTGTTTTCTTTGCCAGTCAATCATTCATAGCTGACAGCTTTTGTGCAATAGTGACAGCATTCATGATGTGGGCCACCATGCTACCGCTCGGCATATACAGCGGCCAGATTCTATTGCAGGTAACTAAACTTTGTTCCTACCCAATAGTGACCAATTCTTATACAACAGTTGTTCTTTATTAATACAGAAGGCAAATTAAGTAGAACCAAAGTTATCAGTAATGAGTGTTTTTTACGTGTCTAGTGTGTTCTTAAGGAGATGGGAGAATAGGTTTTCGGATCAATGAATTTGGCCTTAAAAAACACACAGATTGTGGATTTTTGTGGTAAATCAAGCAGACGTGCAGATTTTGAAAACACAGTGGATCGTAGATTGGATGTGAATTTTGGCCTGCATTCTGGATTGTGCCTGTCTTGATGTTTGGATCTTGGGTCCTATATGAAATTTGGATCATAGATCTTTCTTCAGCCCTGGTCAGTATGTTAATGAGTTCATCCAAGTTATTTCTTTTTTCGAACAAAGCTAATTTAAACTCAGTTGTGAGACTGTTATTGGAATATTATTGTACTGTGTTATAGTCATTAAGCATGTTGCCTTCTTTACTATTTGTGCAAAATTAACAACGGCATTCACATTTACCACTTTACCTTTGAAGTTTTACACTTCTGTTTCCAGATGTGGTTGTGGTTTCAGATTTGAACAAAAATATTAGCTGATCAACAGATTTGGTGAAAAAAAGGCACGGATTGGTGGATTGGCATACCCCTATACAAGCATCAAGAGTTTCCCGCTTCCGGTTTTTGGGCAATGCATTATGGGATATGCACTCCAGAAAAGTGAGCACCAACTCTCGAATCTCCGCCATTACTGAATATTCGTTTCAGCTTCGCGTTTGTTTACCTTTTATTTATGGTGTGCTTTTCCACTGGAATACTTACTTTACGCCTTCTATACTGGTCAGCAATTCTACAGACTGGTGAGTCAATCAATTTTTTGGCTGCTTATGTCTTCCGCAAAAAAAAATGCGATAAAACTTTATGGGTTTCAAGAGGGATGTTTACATGCGAAATGTTTCAAGTCTGTAATCATTCTGTTTTGATTTCTTCTCTAGGTATGGGATTTGGGCACCGGAATTTTGTTGTTGTTGGCTGCCCAAACAGCGGGAAAAGGTTGAATAAATGGGAGAAACCAACCTGCACTGTTCATGTTTGAACAGGACACGTACCTGCGACTGCGAGCCACCATTCAAGCTTTTTTCCCTTCCCAACGAAGAAAAAGGATAGCGAAGGAAGACGACGTTAATGTTGCTGAGTCATTGTATTTTCAATTGGTGCTAGCTATTATATTGTTTCAATTGCCATTTGCTTCTTAATTTAATGGGCCAAATTTATTAATGTCACTGTTTATAA